ACTATCGAGTAGCGAATATTCGAAACAGAGAGCTCGCGATGTCGCGAAAGAATTCAAAAGATCGTTTCCAGCCTCACCTCAGCGACGGACACAACACAGAATGTACTCTGGTGGCGCGGATCGATAGCTTCTAAACGCATTCCCACTGCGAAGAGGCACGGAATTTGAATTTCCAGCGAGTGTTGATCCGTTAGACGGAACCTGGAAGAGGACAGACGACCGTAAGATCGACGGTCGCCTCCATCGTCCAAAATGCTCTCTTTCGCAACTCTCCAAGAAGGTGAGAACTCGAGATCCCTCGCGCCGAGAGACAAATGTAAGCCACGGTGGATCGTCGTTTCGGAATCGAAATCAGGCCAGTGGGGATCGCTCGACGACGAATTAAACAGATCGCGACTCGGTTGTCGTTCCACTGCCCACAACCTGCCGAAGGAGGTTATTTCCACTCACTTGATATTTGTCCCCTTCAATGTTGCCACACCGGATTCCCATTCCAGACCTTCTTCATCGCTGAGCAGGGTCATGACTGGATTTCTTCGCCCGCTGAGAGGTATGAGTATTCACCGTTCACGTATAACCTCACCGATCCGATACGCGCACAGGATCGCCTCCCTCTATTTTCCTGTACGAGTACCGCTCAACAGCACGAAGCCCTCTCTCCACTGGCTTGTCCTCTCCCGATTTCGCGGAATCGAAACCCGCGAACTCGATGCAGTTCTCCCACAACGGGATATTTAAGTTTGACCGCGATCTTTGGCAGGGGGTTCTCCGATCGTCCTCGGCGGGAGGAGGTTCCAGGAAGAGAGAGGAAGCCGTATCAAACGCTCAGCCAATTCCGTTTTTCCGTGTCCAGCTGCCGATTGGAACCTAGACACGCTGCAGCGGAATCGGTCAGATCCTGGATAAGTGCCAACGCACAGTTCGATACCGTAAACATATGTGACTCTGAAAGCGGAAAATCGGAAGAATCCCTCCGTACCGTAAGTAATTCGGTGCATATCATGTCTGGGAATAGTAGAGACCGACAGGATCCTATTCGATTCCGATCGTTCCGCCACGCCAGGGATACTGAGAACTTTTCGCGTCTCAATCGGTGAACCTCTCATAACCAGCTGCGTTTCGGCGTTCCTCGCATCATTGTCATTCCCTAGGATATTTGACAGCCTTACGATATGCTCGTCGCCGTTCCATAGCTCCTCCCGCAGAATAGAATCCTCCTCCCGTTCGATCTAGACCAGCGGGTCGACGAGATCACGGTCGTGTCGATTTCCCAGATGAAGTGGATGCGTAGAAATTTCTGAGGCAGATTCTCATCTTCAAGGTATCTCTGACAATATGGCTAGCAGCTGGGAAGAAGTCAAGCTTCTGGCAGCGGATTTCCAGCGTGCCCAATTGACGTCGTCGATCCAGAGACTGAGTGATCGGAACTGCATAGAAATCGTGAAGAAATTGATATCCCTGAAGCTGATCGACGTAGTTTTCACGACGTCCGGGAAGGAGTACATCACTCCTCAGCATCTGCAGAAAGAGATCAACGATGAATTGATTGTTGCTGGAGGTCGCATTGACCTGAGCACGCTCGCGACGACTTTGCAAGTAGATATCAGCCACATCGAAAAGGCTGTCCCGGATGTCTTACGTTCGGACAAAGGGACAAAGCTCGTCCTCGATCAACTAATCACGGAATCCTACATGGACCAGCTGGCCGAGGAGGTGAGTTCCCCACGATTAGGCATTCGTGGGGGTATTAAATCAGAGGTCGAAGTCGAACTTGAAGCGTATGTCCGCGACCATATCCTTATCGAGACCTCATCCGGCGCTCTCCCTTCCCAGGTGAACGAGAAGCTACAGCAGAAGGGTGAGCTGTCGATAGCTGAGATCATCGAGGCCTACGATATGCCGACGGATTCTCTGCGTTCGAGTCTCCTGAGCCGTATGGGAAGTATTGTCAAAGGCCAGACTGACGACAAGGAAGTCATTTTCACCGAAGCTTTCGTGACTATGCACCGATACCGAATCCGGGGCATTCTGACCGCGGTCACGAGACCGGTACAGATGTCCACTCTGATCAAGAACTACGCGTTGCCCCAACGAGTCGTATTCAATATAGTGGAGCAGCTCATCAGCCAAAAGAAACTTCTCGGTTCCCTCTCTGGTCAGAGAGAGCGAGCCATCTACTCTCCTGAGATTTACAGTCGAGCGCAGAGAGATTGGGTTAACGATTGCTTCAAGCAGAATGGATTCCTCGAATACGATGCTCTTCGCCGTCTCGGGATAGTCGACCCGGAAACTTACGCCAAGACCATACTACAGGGAACGAAAGTTTTGTTCCTCTCGTCTGCCTGCGTCGGTGAGCGACTTCTCGATCAGATTGAAGCATCCGTTGAAGAAGCTCATCTGACCGGATCATGGGTCGACGTCGTCACGATGTTGCCATCTCAGTTGACCAGCTCCGATGTGCAACAGGTGGTGTCCACTGTGATAGGTAATCACAAATCTGTTAAGGATTCGATGCACATCATTGCTGACAGTATAGTGGCGAGCAACGCCTTGATCGAAAGCTGTTTGCGGACTTTTGAACCTCTCATGGTGACGAAAGGGGAGAAGGATCTTCAAAGTGGAGTCGCCAGAGCAATCTTCACCGAGAAGGAACCCTGCCCTGATGAAGGCAAACGAGGGCGTCACGGAGACGACGAGGATGTTGAAACAAGCAAGAAGGACGAGCGTCGCAAGAAAGCTGCCAGTGGTAAGAGCGGCGGGGGTACCCAGGGCCGTGAGACGAAAACTAAAGCTACCAAGAAAAAGTACGGGAAGAAGAGAGCGAATGATAGCGATTCCGACGAAGACGAGACTCCGCGAGGCAAGCACACGGCTCAAGTATCTTCCAATAAGAAGGAACTTGTCTTCATGTCGCGGCAAGAAATAGTCAAGCACCTCGTTTCTCTCGAACTGCTCCAGGACTGTCCGGATGAGCTAGCTTCAGGTAGGCAAAAATTTTCGCTCGAGTAAATTGGAGCGCTCACTCGGATGTTGCGTTTCGTGGTCATATGGAGCAGCAGGAAATTCACAGGGAGGCCAGTATACGCAAATCATTAATTCTGCTTTACAGGAATCGGGGATTTCATCGAGCGGCAACTCGCAGCCAAGTACAGACAAGTTGTTCGTTCGATGTTCATGTCGTCCATGAACGCGTCGGCCACGTCTCGCCGTAAAACTCACTCCGAGCTCCAAGAGAAAATCACCGTGGCTCTCGGCTCCATCAGCCTCTACGCCAACGGTCTGGACGTCTTCGACGGGGAACTGAAGTCACAACTAAGCAGATATCTTCTCAGATCTTTGTGCACAGACCTTGTGAATAGCATCGTCATCTACCTGGCATCGGAACAAGGCACCGAGTGCGAATCCGAGAGTTTGAGCACCGACGCTCGTTTGAAGCTCATTAATAAGCTCAATAGTACACCGAAAGAAGTTCTGCTCAAAATTCACCAAAACCTCAACGGCGGTACCATCGACGATTTCTTGGCCACCATGGAGACTGTTTGTGGGGCGGGCGTCTTGGATATGATGATCAGGAGCGATCGCAAGCGAGATCGTCAGACCATGACGAGCCACAAGATGTCTCTCCTCCAGCAATTGGAGACTTCGTCAGACCCGGCGTTGACTTTACACATCGCCGTTTCGATTTTGGTGCAGATCCAACTACAACGAATGGTTCATTTCTCCGGCAAATTCGTGCCGCAAATGATCGCTTTCCTTCGAGGGAAGATAGAGAAGGAAGTCTTTGAGAAACTCGTCGAGTTTCAGAACATGGTCATGAAATCGATGTCTACGGAAGACCCCGAGGAGAAGTCCCGTCTCAACGAGAGTCTAGCCGGTGACCTCAAGACGCTGAAGGAACTTGTTGGGAACTATAAGAGACTTAGTGAATCGAAGTGATTCCGAGTCTCTAACACTGTATATTCCTCTCTTGATCTAATATATATCTTCGTAACACCTTCCGTCTCTTTTCTTGTCACTGATAATTAGATGCATCTTCTCACATTCGAGTCACGAATCACGACCGAGGTGACCCAGGTATTCGGTTGACGATCTCGCGAACGCTGGGGATCACGATAAGGCCGGAAAAGAATTAGATGAGCGGTCTACCCGCTTTGCAGGTAGCTCCCGGCGTTCGTGACTACGCTCGCGCTCGCCGTTGAGCAGAGTTTTCAGAAGGGTCTCGAGTCTGTCAAAAAGATCGCGGCCCGTCTCACGGTGTAGTCTCTCCCCATAGCTCAACAACGGCCCTTGAGCTATCCGAGACACTGATGCTTCGAAACACATCCGAGCTCTCCGGTCCCCGGAAAGGTCGTAACGGACCGCCCGCTCCGTTCCGGGGTGGCAGCACAGATCATCATCATCATCATCACATCATCCGCGGGCTCGTCAGCTGTGAGAGTTTCTCCCCAGTGCACCACCGATAGGAATACAGAGCAGAAGCGGATCGGAACCGTATTCTCGCTTCGTGATTCGTGACACTCTGTCGGAAGTTCTCCCGCTACAGATGGCTGACTTATGCAAAACGCGACAAATTGTGAGCCCATCGGACATGCGGTTTCTCCTTCCCCAGTGAGTCGCATTTGAGAACCCTCACGAGGAAATCGAGTGAGCAGCTCCCATAAATATCAACATGGATATGCTGAACAACATATTCACGCCTCAGGGGCACGAATCGGCCATGAAACAGGCCCTCTACAACACGTTAGCCTTCGTGTTCGTACTGGTGTTCGCTGTCGCCGGCGTAGCTCTGTACTTCATCTTGGAACCGTTTCTGCAGCCGCTATTGTGGGCATTATTGTTCGGTTCTGTACTCTATCCCTTCAAACACTCTCTCTCGGAATTTCTACGAGAATGGCTGCAGAACGTCCAAGCACCGCTTGCCGTCGCGGTCGCGACGTCGCCAGTGGTGCTTCTCGATAGTATCGCGCATTCGTTCATGACCATGTTATTTAACTACAGTAAATTATTTATCGCGGTAGCCGGATCCATCCTGGTGGCCTGGTTCCTGCCCCTCGCATGGTTCATGAAAGTCGTGCAGCTCGTAAACATAATGTACAGTCTGTTCGGACTTCTCGTGTCGATTCTCTCGACAGCTTTCACGGTTTGGACAATGACCATCGCTTTCGTCTTCGTTCTTCTGTTCAATTTCAATGACAGCGTGGCCCCTATTTTCCACATGCTCAGCCCCGTGATGTACTTGTCCATATTCTGCTATCTGACGGGAATGCTCGGTGCTCTGAGGATACCGATCATTCTCGCAGTCTTCTTGTTGATGGTCATTGGATTTTTTGCCGAGATCGAAGACCGCGGCAAGTGCGGTCCCAAAACCAGTGAGAAAGCATCGACGAAAACGTACGACAGAATGTCGATTGTCGAGATCACGGTCGCTCGCAAGATGAAACTCTGGTACATCAGACTCAAGGACGCGCTCAGGAGCCCAGAAGACGTGCCGGAACCGGAGAACGAGGACTACACGGAACCCGACAAGCGCCCACCACCCCTCATCCAAGTTGATGACGTGGACAAACCAGCGGACGAGACTGAAGACACCTGTACGGAACCGACGAGCCACGAGAGCGACCTCTATCTCATTGCGGTCGTCTGGGCTTGCGTTGTGGTCCAGCTATATAGGAATCTATGGTTCATGCCACTAATGTACATCCCGATGCTCTACGGTGTGATGAAGGGAATCTGCCTCAGATTGAACGTATCGGAAATGCTTCGAGGTTTTCGTGATAACTTCGATAACTGGTACGAAACGAGGAGAGACGCCATCGCCCCAGCCTTCGTTCAAGGGGTTTTCCGGCTGCTCTTGAAGGGAGACCGGAAGATAAAGCATATCCTCGAAGATTCCGTGGACTCGATTACATCGATCCTTGTCATAATACTGCTCTTTCTGGTGGCTACTGTCGGCACGATTTTCATGGCCTGTCAGGTCTACGGAGAGAGTGTTCATCTGATCGGGATCACTTCGGGTGTCATCAACAGGACTCTCGTTCACAATCCAGAGCTCCAACAGCTGGTTCCCGATACAATCAGCAACGTGCAAGGGGCTCTGGATTCGATGTTGGGAGACGCCTATCAATACGGAAAAGACTGGATCCGAGGCAGCCTGAGGCGACTTTTGGAAAACAAAGACGATCCCTCTAAGGCTGAAGCACTCGAGGGCGAAATCATGGATTTGTGGGACAGAATCTACCACATGTGGATCAGACAGAGGAACGCTACAGAGAGCGAAGGGGAGAAAATCCTGGCAAGTCCCTCCTGGAATACCCTAATCGATGGACTGAAAACACTGGATCTGAGTGCTATCACAAATTTCGTGAAAGATAATTTAGACACGCTGCAAACGGTCATCGATTCCGTTTGGGTGATCCTTAAGGGCAACGTCACGATTTTCATCTCGGTAATCACAGCCATCTTGTCGGTTGTTTTCGGCGGCGGAACCGCTGTTCTCAACTTCGTCATAAACTTCATCGTTTTCACAACAGCACTGTTCTATCTTCTCGCGGCGAGCGATAGCACGTACAAACCAATTCAACTGTTGAGCAAAGCCATTCCCAACAGCAAGGGCAAACCCATCTCTGGACTGGGAAAAGCTGTCGAACAAGCTATCAATGGCGTTTTCGCACTTTCATTCAAAATGGCATTCTTCTATGGTCTGTATACCTGGCTAATCCACTCATTATTTAACGTTAATATCATTTACATACCGTCGGTCCTTGCGGCCATTTTCGGCGCCGTTCCTTTTCTGGGCACGTATTGGGCTTGCCTGCCAGCATGTCTCGAGCTTTGGTTGGTCAATGGAAACCCCGTGCGTGCCCTGATAATGTTCTTGGCGCAAATTCTCCCCATGTGTTTCGTAGACACCGCTATCTACTCGGAAATAAAAGGAGGTGGACATCCGTATCTCACGGGCTTAGCCATCGCGGGAGGCGTGTTCTGTATGGGTGTCCAGGGTGCACTTTTCGGTCCGATGTTGCTATGCGTTTTGATAGCAGCCTGCAATGTTTACTCGAAACTGGTACAGAAATCCAACCTAGCGAATTTCGAAGAGTTTTCTGTTCCACAATCACCCAAGCCGCGCATGAGAAAACGAGCTTCTTTCAGTGGCCAGCTAGTCACGGATAAATTTGATTGATAGCCCACGATCGTACACTTCCGAAGACGTCCGGACATCCTAGGTTTGCCCCCGCTGCTTTGGATGGTTTGTGGGGATAACTAGACAAACTGTGATGCAAAAGACAAATCTCATCGAATCCTTGGAGTTATTGAATATTTCATGTTAATAAAACTTATTTATTCAGCTACCCTGCCATCTTCTATGCGTTCTATCGCTGTCTCCTCCCATGCTGGCTCAACCAGAGAATTCCATTAGAATTTATCATCCATTCCGCCATGAAACTGTGATTCACTCAATCCCGAATCAAGTCGTGACGGCAGCCCTCCGTCCACACGATCCAGCCAGACGTCATTTAGCGCCGGCTCAATTGGAGCTCGCAGCTTACTCGCGAATGTGTGATCCCGGGTGGCGACTCGAGGAATCGGTCGATCAAGCCAAATCTTGGGAAACACGATCATGATATGAGCTCCGTGCCGCCTCTGTGACGACTCTCGTTCCTGGGAACCGTCGCCGTTAAGGAGTCGAGTTCGAGCAGGGTGAGAAAGTTTCTCTTCATAGAACCTGACTCGGGCGCAGGGAAGCAGGTCGGCTAAAGAAAATCAGCGGCACGAGCTTCGCTTCGTTAAGACTAGCTTACCGCCGCTACCTGTTCTGCTCCGTGACATCAGAGAGCAGTGTCACCGTTTCCTAGCAGACGTTCGCCCAGCCATGAAGCTCTCCCGCAAACTGCCTGATTCAGAACGACTATTCAGAGCTCTCTCCGCGTCGTAGTCCACAAAAGCATCACGAAAGCTTCGGACGGCGTAGTGCGAAACTTCGATCAGAATACGATCGCGAGCCGGGCCGGGCTCTTGAAGGTTCGGAGGCAACAATGGTTCCGATTCCATCCGCAGTGTATGCGGGAGGTGATCGCTCGCGATCGCAGAGCTGTACCCTCCACCATCCTCTGAGAGCGTCTTGAGACATCTCTCCGACATGTACCCTACACATACACAACATAAATTTCAGAAGTGTCGTATCGAACGGAGCTCTCGACCAGAGCCTCGGTGAGAAATGGCGCAGCCAAGACCGGGTGATTCTCTGATTGCAGCTAAAGCGGAGGCCGTGTGGCGACATGTTCATGAAGACGGCTTGTATAGATTTCGGGAAGAGATAATTTATAATCGTTGACAGGCGTCAAAATGTGCAAGATGTTGACCTCAGCAGTGTTTTAGCAGACACCGCTGCGTTCTATGCTAGAGCTAGAACAGGACATCGGGACGCTGTGTAGAACGCTCTCTCCAGCGAAATATACCAGAGCCTGAAACCTTGGTCTACCTCAGTCATGTCGGTCGACGGCGCCGCGTTTGGTCCATCTGTTCCGCCGGCCGCTTGTCGACCAAGCTATTGGTGGTTGCACTTCGCGCAGCGCGGGCTGGCAGGTAGCCGGCCGCTTGTTCGTTTTGTCACCAAAATAGAGTGTCCCATACTCTCGACTTGTACAGTCGTCGGCCGCCGCAGATTCTACTCATGCACCTGGCGATCAAGCTAAAGATTGGCCACTTTCGTGAGCAGAGCAGCGAAACGAGGCCCCGCGGCTCCCGCCCTGCTCTCCGCGATCATATCATTCTCGGCCTCCGAATATCCAATCAAGAGAAATCGCCAAGACCTCTTAGACAAGAGGACACAATTAGGTACCTACGTCCACAATCGCTGTGCCAAATAGCCGACCGGGGAATTATTCGTAATTATCCATGATGCGCCTAATTACTAATTAGACGCATCACACAGAGGGAGGATCACGGAGGTTCGACCCTGATCTCAATGGAGCCCGTGGTCTTGATCCCGGATGCCGACTTGGGGATTCTCCTGGAATTCTCGGCTCCTGGAATTATGGGCGTATAGATTACAGGAGAATCGTCGTTTATGATAGGGAGAATGAAGAGGAAAGAAAAATCTCGTTTCCTTTCCTTACCCATTACCCCGTCCTCGTTTCGTGGAACGACTCGCCGCTCCGAAATTGCTTGGCAGGCACGACTCGAGAAGCGGTCTCGTAGTCCCAAGAGAGTCGACCATGCTGGGGTCGTCGTTCGAAATTTTCTCCATCGATGCGTTCATAAGGGAAGCGTTCCGAGGCAATCCAGAGACCGTGGTGCTCCTGAGCAACGACCAGGTGAATACAATTTCCTAGGTTACACTACGTGGTGATTTACTACGATTGATCAGGTTGATAACAGGTATCTCGATCATAGCCTGTCATAGGTATTCCAAAGCCAAAGTAACTCTTCGCATCGAGACCAAGACGGTTCCCATCTTCCGGGATCTTTGGATGTGCTCGACGATTCACGGCAGTCGTTCCCTCATGCGCGTGGGCGTCTTGTTGTTGCTCGCTTCGCGGGTATATATTGGAGTATCAGAATCAGCTCCGCTGGGAACCACGACGAGCGCTTGAGTGTTCGAATTTTCTATGCTAGAGGTTACTCGATACAGGTGTACGATAGTGGCGACAAGAGCAACAGATATTGATTCCTTGATACAGGCGGGATCAATGTTACCCTCACTAGGTAGTCTACTTTGTTCGCAGGAAATTCCAGATGAGGTCAAACAGCAGATTGCCGATGAGATGAGAACATCGGAAACGGCATCCGTTTCGAAGACAAATGCGGAGGATGATCTCAATACGGGTCAGTGCGATGCGATTCTGCGCTTCAGGACGACGATTGTGTTCGATGGCATAGGTGCTCCTGAGAGGGAACAAGATGAAATCCTCAAACATCCATTGTAGCTAACGATTTCCTATTGCGGTAGTTAACTCCATTGGCGGAAATCCCTCTCTGTGGACATGCAACCCTGGCCACCGCAGCTGCGCTTTCCGAAAAAGGTACGCGCCGCGCCGCTCAGAACATGGAAACAGATCAGCTCGAGTCGAAGAATTCCTGACTCCCTGATTCAGCTCATCGGCGCAAGAAATCGAACGTTCGCTGGTAACGCGAACAGGAGGCTGACTTTCGACAACAAGTCAGGGACCTTAGTTTCCTTTTCAGGAGGCGAACGGGATAATCAAATTGGATTTGCCCGCGAGATCTACGAGAGTCGTGGTGAGAGTGCTGTATGCGTGATGTGACGCGCTGTGCTGATCCATCCCATCCAAAGCCCTCTCTACACCGCTCTTTGGAAGCAAATGTCGTTGCGCGTTCGAGGAACTATCCGAGACTAATCACGGTGGCGTCCGTGTTGACTCTTCGATAGCCCGAGCTAAGCCTACACCAAATGAAGCCGGGAATCTCACAACCCTCGACGGTCCTGTCTAATGGAATCTCAACCGTCTCGCTTTTTCACAAACTTCCCCCAGGAAGCTTCTCCACTTCAGCTCAGGCTCTATGCAGCTGGGTGTTTCCGACGAGGAGGTCCGATTCAAGGGAACGATGGAAACCTAACACGATGAGGCAGCACGCGGATCCAAAATCGAGCGTATACCGAATCGCAATGATCGGCAGTGACCCCTACTCCCTAAATAGCTGGTCTGTTCTTGTTTGATTGGTTTTGTGATGAGCGGCCTCCGTTCACCTCATGCTTCGTCCAACTTCATATTCGACGGTCAAGCTCGACGTGAAGATCGTTGGCGGTTCCCCTTGCCGACGCCCGCTCGTCGCGGTCTCGTCATTCCGAAAACGAGAGAGCGCACGTGGCTCCGTGACCTCTTGATCAGTCATCGAGTTTAGTGACTCGTTCGATCAAGCTGGGATGAGAGCGTATTCGGCAAGCGATCGGACTATTGCCTGTGGCCCACGAAACTTGCCGTGAATGGAGTAAATGTCCGCCCGGTAATTCGACGAAATCAAGTCGCCTCGTATGCTACGCTGGGGTCAGCGCAATGTCCTCGAGTCTCCCGATTCTCATCCGCTCCCTCTCGCTACCTTGAGACATGTTAGCCGAGGGAAACTTCGCTCCAGGAATGGAGAGCCAGGATGAGATCTCTATTCGGTAGGATTCGAAATTTTCGTCCATGTAGTGCCGCCGCTCTTGATACACTAGCAGGAGGACTCGGGACCGCGGGGCCCACGGGGCTTGCGGTCTCCGATTATTCTCCTGCCCTCGACTTGAGAGCAGTTGCGAGACTGACTTGTCCCCATCATTTCTCACGGCTCGCCCACCACGCCAATGCGGCCGGGAGAGCAAAGCGTTTTGATTCCTTTCCTCAAAACCGTCGCCTCATCTGATCGGCGGAAGGCATTGCTGATCCCCCGGAGGGCGACATCCCGAACCCCGAAGCCGCGTCCCGGTCAAGCTGTCAATTCCCGCAGATGGGATCAACGTATGAAAGTCTCATTCGGAGCGTGGTGGGCGACCGACTGGAAATCTTGGACGTCATCTATTGGCCAGACGAGAGAACCTTGATGTTGGGACTCGACGACATCACAACCTTGTGAGTGCACGCCGGCGGATCGCCGAATTATGGTAAGTTTATCGACGCTACAGCGGCAACAAGGCATCTAATCATTCGCTCGACCTTGTCTCAGGCAGCAACTTGAAGACTTCGACCCGAATTTCGATCAAATGATCGCATTCGAGGAAGGCGAACTCGCTTTTCGCGGAGTCAATGTTACTCTGAAGGGCTCGGAAGCGAACGGATGCTCCAATGCGGAAACGGGTGATGTGTATGATTCCGTGTTAAGACATTTCGCGCCGTGGTATGGCGTTCTCGAAGATCCAGTCACAGGCTCATCGAATGCGGTCCTGGCTTCCTACTGGGCAAAACAACTGGGCGGGAAATACAAACTTCTCGGTATGCGTGCGAGCAGTGAATGAAACGCTCTGTCTCCCAGGCACACGGAGATGTATTCAAGGATGCGGTGGATCGATGACGAGCTCCGCTCAAGCGTTCTAAAAGACCTCCCGTTTGCAGCTCTACGAGCGTCAAAACGTGGCGGCGATCTCCACATGGCGGTCCGCGATGACAGCCGGACCGAGGCTGGGGGTCAGTGGATCTGTGTCAGGGAAGGTGAAGTCTATGTCTAGCAGAGAAGAAGTTCACGACTTCTCCTAGGCAAACGAGCGACCGAAATCTCGACGAACATACATGTGGGAGAAATTCCCATTTTCCGGAGGTCCGGAATATTGATCGATCAGATGACAAATTCAAGCCATACGCGATCGATTATCCCATTTGAAATTGTGGGTTCTATGGGTTTCTCATGGACTTATCAGATTTCCGGTCGGAGCCCCCCAGCCGGAAGTTCTCGGAGACAGGGTTAGATCCGGATGCGGACCTCTGCATTTCCTCTAATCCTTTCCTCAGAACCACATTCGTTTGCTCGACTGTCGATTTTATGAGCATCGAGACGACGGTCTACATATTATGGTATGAAATCAATTCTGAAAAAAAACTATCTGTCAAAAGATCCATGAATACGTGGCTCCATTCCGGATTCTAATTCTACGGGCAGAAATACACGCAATTATGCATGCCGAATAAGCTTCCCCGGGAAGCGGTTCCGGGCTAAAGGGAAGTCTTGTGTAATCCCTCACGGCACAATACCGCTCCCCTCCCCTCAAGCATAGTCCCTGATGCCGACCGCAGCTTTCCGACAAGAAAAAGGTATTCGCTCCCCCAGTTTGTCACGGTGATCGCTCAGCGGTCTCCGTGTCCTTGAAATCGCGCCTCCGGAGTGCAATTCTTTCCGAAGCTCCATCCAGGTCCCGGCAAATGTTTCTCCCTCCCTCCTTGCCCGCCTTCGAGCATTCCTCTCGGAGTGTGGCTTCCCAAGCAGGCAGGACGGCCAGCTGACACAGGCCTTCCCTCTTTCCCTTGCCCAACTCCTTGTGGACCTGCATCTCTTGCGCATGCTCGAAGCTCCTGGGACTCCTCCGGAGCGAGAGACCAAAGTCACTTGGCGCTGGAATACTCGTCCCTGCAGGAGGTCGGAAATTTCTTCGCAAACCCAGTTGCTCGAAAAGACATCAAAATAGGTCCCCCGGTGCCACCGAAGCCGTCCACGATGACGAGGAAGGCGTTCAAGATTTTCACTATCGACGCCTTCACCAACAAGCCATACTGTGGCAACTCGGCTACCGTGGTCTTCCTGGATCGAGATCAGGTGGGTGGACCCTCTTTGCTTCATGAAACGCGAGTGTAAAGTCAAATACACGTCGCGATTCTACCGTTAGTGAACTCGGAGGCTCAATGCATTCAGTAGTTCCCGCGACAACGAATGTCATGCAATTTGGAGCGACTGGAATCAAGATGACATTGAGCTCGTTCAGGGGCCGAGGCTCGAAGGCAGTGGACAGCTCAACGAGCTATCGACCCCGTCCCTAGAGGATTTCGCAGTCGACGTATCCTATGAAATTATCATTTATTCAATCTGCAAGGAAGGGGCATCGGATCAATAAGAGTCTTCACCCTGATGTTTTCATCAGCTCGAATTCCGTCCGCGAGATTAGTACGGCTAGGCTGGGTTGGCTTATCGATCCAAAACAATTAGGATCACCGATAGGCCACTCGAGCGTGACAGCCGGAGCTGTCCTCTGTTTCGCGTTAAAAGCGAGTTCAAAGTGCGGCAAGCGAGAACAATAAATTCCTCCGCTCCGTCTAATCTGTTTTGACGGACCCCGCAAGAAGCTCTGCTCGAAAGTTCTCTCGGAACGGAAGAGAACGTTTCTACCTTTCTGTAGTATGGGGACAGTTCCATGCGAGATGGCGCAGGAATCTCGAGCTCGAATACGGAGCCGACGTATCTCTCAATTTCATCGGCCCCGCTTGAAGCGAGGCACATTGTAGAGCCCATCTCCTAATAGGACCGTGTGACAGCCCCAGCTGATCAGCGGCCTCGTCGAAGACTCTCGATGGTCATCGTGAGCCGAGCTCGGCGTTCGGTGATAGATACAGTTTCCAAGGGCTCCAAAATTGTTAACCACGACTCTCACTCCTGTGCTCAGTTGGTCCTACTTACGGCAAGCCTGCCCGGCCGTGCGGCGTTCGAGTCGGCGAGCAAGAGTCCCGAGGTTTTCAAACAACTGTTTCATCGGCTTGAGGCACCCTCTATATTCCGGCCAATCGTGACGCAAACAAATATCGTTCTGTGTGAGTTTATTCACTTGTACCCATCGGAAAGATGAGAGACCGTCGCACTGGCTCGGAAGATATTGCTCAAGGATTCATTGAGTCTATTTGAGGACCTTTCCCGATGCCATAACCGATCGATTTTCGAGTATGACAATCGTGACTTCCAACCTGCGCCTAGCTGAACATACATGAGGCTTGACTCGCAGCATGTATACAGATTTGATTCGAGAGATTCATCTATTATATAATGAATCGGGATATTCATAAATGAGGAATCGGGATGCTTACATATAATGAGTCTGGATATTCAAAAATGAGGAATCAGGATACGTACATATATAATGAATCGGGATACTAATCATACTAATACACTATAATATCGGGATACTAATTATACTAATACACTAAAATATCGGGATACTAATACCTAAACATAATGAATCGGAACATTTATGCACAATTTCCCAGGATATCCCGGATGAGCTCAAACAGCGAATAGCGAATGAGATGAGTTTCTCGGAAACCGCCTTCGTTTCAAAGAAGAAACCTGAAGATCATTTCAATTCAGGTGCGAACGGTGGCTTGTTTCCGACAATATGGTGCTAGGCCCCAATGAAATTCTAAATCGATTCGATTTCATACGAATGCCTCGATTTTCCAGCCTCCGATTTCTTCTTGCGTTGGTTTACCCCAAAGAAAGAAGTTCCGCTCTGCGGGCATGCCACTCTGGCGACCGCGGCTGCTCTCTTCGATAATGGTGAGAGCAAATCCGACTGATGGTGGAGATGGGTTTGAGCAGGAAATCCTTCTTGAATCGCTGAATACGTCCGTCTCCTCGACGGAGGGCTTTCGTTCGTCTTCCCGAATTATAAAGCTCCGACTCATCGCAGGGAACAAGAGCAAACGGCTGACCTTCGACACAAAGTCAGGAACCTTGACCGCCATGAAGACAGACGACGGGAAGGTTATGCTCAACATGCCCGCGAGGATGAATAAGCAATTGGTAGGTCTCCCACCGACGGAATCAGGCAGATAGGAGATCTCATCCATTGAATATGTCGCGCGTCATGATCCATATTGACGTCCCGTATTGACTTTCAGAGCAAGTCGATTTACAACAACCTTTTCAAGCACGTTGTGGGTGAGCGTTTGGAAGTGGTTGATGTCGCCTATTCGACAGAGGAAATGAAACTTATACTCCGCCTCAATGATACAACCACAATGTAAGCCCCAACTAGGAGGCTCCTCACGCGGGAGCGCGCAAATTGAAGAGACACATCTCCTCTCACGGCGATATTCGAATCTATTGGTCCCTCGAGCCATCAAATTCGTATTACAGGAGGCAGCTGGAGAACTTCAATCCTAACTTTGAGCAGATGATGGCATTCAATGGAGGAAACTTAACTCTCCGCGGTGTGACCGTCACTCTAAAGGGATCAAAGGAGAATGGATGCGTGAACGCAGAAACTGGTGAGGTGTATGACTTCGTATCGAGGCATTTCGCTCCTTGGTATGGCATACCCGAAGATCCCGTTACGGGTTCTGCTCATACGGTCCTGGGACCGTACTGGGCAGAGCAACTCGGCGGAAAATGCAAACTCCTTGGTAGGTGGAACTCCGTCGATTCTGCGAGAGAGCATCGTTGACTGTGTCCGCGACTAATTCTCTAAGAGCTGCTTTCGTTACAGCTCGACAGGCTTCGAAGCGCGGGGGCGACCTTTATATCACCGTCCGCAATGATCATCGCATCGAGATGGGAGGTCATTGGGTGTGTGTGAGAAAAGGAGAGATCTACGTCTAGAACGGGTCGTGGATAGTGACGACACCGTCATAGTCCCGGGAACACGAGTGCTCAAGATTCGCCAAAAACAATCGAGTTTTCCGTGGGACGGGATCGATCATCCGCTTCGCGTTCGGACCGATCGGCCATGTTGTACGGGTGTTTGTTCAACGATAAGTCCGTTGATTCTCTTCCGCGACGGCGATTAGTCGGGCATACTGTTACCGTTGATGCCGATTCCTCCATTCGATTTTCTAGAAAGTGTCCTGACCTTCTACGACCGACTCCTGCTTTCGTCATAAGCGAAGGTTGTTTCCGAGTCGCGTTGTCAGGACTCGTTTTTCGATTCGCGGACAAGTTCCCCTGATGAGATGACCAGGCTCCTCCGTCCCTCGAATCCCCAACGACAACGGGTGGATTCTAGTGGGAATGCATTCCCATGCAGCGGGAAGCTAACCGGGGACCGATGCGGAAAGAGGGGAACTTCGATGCGTCTTTAGTTCATGTAGGGAGCTTACGGATATGGACACTTGTCGCGATGGTGTACCTCGTAGGACGGCAGTCGCCCTTCGAAATTGGATATATTGTATCATGACATACATTATTATTGATGCTCGATGGATCAATTCTGATCTACGAGGCTGCAATATTCGAGGCTCCTGTTAAAGTTCGAGCCGAGCAATCAATTGGCACGTAATAAATCGCTCGTTACAGTTTACCTGGACTCATCCTTGAATTCTGTTTATCAATCGAAGGCTCCAGTATCGCAGTGTTTGCCAACCGGGGTTTCGCGGAACCCGTGGCTTCCGCGGGAAGATTTTCAGGGTTCCGCGGGGAGATTCTCAGGGATCCGCGGCCCGGTCTTCGCGGGGAGCACTGGGGTTCCGGAACGAGATTTCTGGGGCTCCGCGAGGGGATTTCTGGGGTCCCGCGAGAAGATTGCTGGGGTTCCGTGGGACATTCCATTGGTTCCACTGAGGAAGATTCAGGGTCCGAGTATCATGCTTGGTTCCTCCTGCTGATCCCACGATTCTTGGCAAGTGCCGCTCAAGCGGATGAACAAGAGCCGCAGTCGAAGAGGACGCAGAAAAGGCCGGGAAGGGTGGAAAATGACTCAGGGGTTCCCGGAGAGGTGGGAACCCTCGCACCATCGGGTCCCCGGGGGCGAATTCCACTGAATAGCGGGTATAACGGGGTCTTTCAATTTATCCTGCGGAGTTCGAGGTTTCTCTGTCGGTTGATGAATGTTCGAGAGAACTTTCTGGCCCCACGTTTGACACCAGTTGTTCCACTCCGACGTTCTCCAAAATATCGATCAGTGTGGCGAGCAGGATCGAGACTCGAAAGAGCCTGCATTCGCTTCGTTCGATTCGCGAGGAAGTATCCTTGGACACCATCTATTTTCAAGCGACCATTCTCTCTTTTTCACAGCGAACATTTCCGGGGCTGACCCCAGAATATTGTCGGCTTAGGAGAGCATGCAGGGTAGTCTCCTACAGAGGGGAGATCGAAGCCTCCTGTATGTGGTTGCCGATTGAGTGTTCGGCAGACCGTTCGCAGGAGGGTAGGAAGTCTTCGCCACGTCTCTCCGACGGAGCACGAGACTTTGCAGCCCGATTGTAGAACCGATTGAACAGTCTCGCATCGGACTCGCGGGGAGCGCTCCGACTCTCCTAGTCCAGAACAGCAGTGCTCTGTTGCGGGGCTGGGCGCTGCGTCATGAAATCACCGGCGTGCTGCGGTGCTGAATGCTCTCCCGATCTTCGCAGCTAATCTGCGGCGCGCCGCCACCCTTATCGTACATTTCAATTGGGATACACTGTACTAATCGTACTGTGAAAAATACTCGTTAAGCGTGAAACTACCGAAAAACAGGGGATGATTTTTCGTCGGAAAATGCCGGAGTCCCTCATCCTTATGATCGAGAACTCCGACGGAGCCAGGAGCACCCCAGTTCGGCCTTCCGGGATTCGACTGAATTTGATTTTTGAGGAGGTCTTCGCTTTTCGCTGTGGGCCCTCTAAAACCGAGCTGGCGAAGCGGAGGCGCCTGAGATCGCTCCACAACCAGAAATCTGCTCCTGTTTCGGGGTCCAACCTCTAAGTATCGTCAGATGATTGGTGACTTGCGTCTCACGGGAAATTTAACCATCCTCAGGTCGGACACAGCGTCTCCGGAGGTGTTCAGGAGCTCATTCCGGATTATTCTCAAGACCAGTAAGGTCTCCTGCTTCATGCACCAGGAGGCTTGTCATTCAGACGATCTCGATCGTAACGGGCCGAATATCCTCGGATATGACGTCCGCGTGGCAGAATGGTGATTCTCAAAGCCGATCCAATGATAAGAATTCGGATGGTGTTTGGAATCGACACAGGAGCGATAGCATCATTCGGCATGTGAATCATTCTTTTCTCTGCAATGATCTCGGACCTTGGCGTATAATTCTCTCCTGTGCGAATCAAGGGATGGGAGCACGTCATTGCATCTACCAATGGATTACAGAACTGGAATTCTCCAAGAAGACATCAATTATTGAAGCAATTGACCGACATAATTCTTCCTTCCCCAATTTGATATCATACCGACACAGCCTCTTCAGTTCAATGAGGAATCATCAGAGAGGAAAATATCAAGCAAGGCTCCAAAACAGAACTGTCGCGGAGGAATCGTTTCCGAGTATTCGCCTAATACTGAGTCGGGCTGCTTTTTCCTAGCGTAGCGTCATCAACTGCTCTAACTCGAGTCCATAGAACACCTGTATGTACACTTGTGGGTGGCCCGAGCAGATTCGGGTCTGAAGTCCAGAATACTTCAGCGAGGGAGACTAGTTACGCTTGAAGCAATGACTGATGGCAATATGAATAGACAATGTGATGGAGCACGATAGGAATCCCCCGAAAAGAATCCTCACGCCCGATCAATCTTCCCTCCACTTCGATGGCGCTATCGAGCCTGAGCATCAAGTCGTAACGCTGACGAGAATCATCGGCGCTGTGCCCTCGCGAATCAGAAGCTTATAGATGGGAACGATTCAGTGGCTTATTGGAATTCCTGAAATGGTATTTTTGAAGGAGCCGATTGTCCGAGTCCGGCGAAGGTCGAAGTAATCCGATGTGGTTTCAGATTTGTTCTCGGGTCTCCAAATGTGGCATATTATAAGCGATTAGATATCGCTCGCAACGCATTATGTCATTTGGGAACATGATTTATACTCACGGATGTTTCCTGAGGGATGTTTCGATTGACTCGTCTCAATCGAAATTAATGACAATCACGATCCAGACGGTAAGAACATCCTGTTGTTCCATTCATTCCATTTTCGGTGTTTTTTTCCCCTGAAAAATCTCTTCCGAATGATATCCACATCCCATGCCAAGCACTTCTCTATGACATACGCGGAGATCTGTTCCAAACTAAAAATGCGTCAAGGGTTTGCGTTAAGCACGACTCCTTCTGCCATTCAGACATCTTCGCTAGCAAGTTGATTATCCGACGCACACCTCATGTTCCGGCTCTGATTCTCCTCTACCGTATTCTCTCTAAAAGTGGGGCATGCCCCTCTATTTTTCGAGCTTCCGGAACATGCCCCTATATTGGGGAGTGCCCGAACATTAGAGAGTGCCCCTCTATAATTTCAGCATCCCGAGAACGGATTACAGCCCATAGCCTGCCGTGTGGAGCGTGCCCATCAATTTTTCTACCAGTTCGTGGAGTTCTCAAGATATCGGGAGCAATCATCAGATAATTCTCCAATCAGGAGCAGTTCTCAAGAAATCATTTTCTATCCTCCTCAAAAGGTGCCCCTCTAATAGAGAGTGCCCGAATAAAAGAGAGTTCCCCACTATCAGATAGAATACGGTATTTCATTTCATTCGCAGCCTACAAGAACGGACAGAAGAGCCTGAGTTCAAATCAACTTCTTTTGTGACTCATTCTGTGTCGGCGTTCCTCCCTTCCGTTTTCGCACCTCTTCATCACTCTACTCCGAGACACTGATCTCTAGACACTGAGCGCTGAGCTCTGACGTCGACTTCCAGGGGCTCCGGGAAAGTCATGTGGTGATGAGGACAGTTCCTCAGAAGCGATATCTCTGCCTCTCCAAATGCTTCCGGCGGGAAATCGGAGCCGAAATCTTTCTGAGAGTTTCGGCGAGACGCTACAGGGGCACTCCTCGAGGCCGAGCTGGGAATGAGCCTTCGAGGCTTCTTCCGCTAATCGGAGTTCCCAATCAAAATCATCGTGAAGCGTTTAGAAAAGGCCTTGAAGAGTCTTGACGTCCTGGATGAGGATAATCTCGGCGAATCTACCAGATTCCGCTGCGTAGACCGAGCCCGTTATCATTTTCGGGGCGTTGCTTCTGCCCTGCAAGTGACTTATCTTCATTCCTCACATCAATCCTCTACCGCGACATGCGCGGCTCCTTCCACCGTGCACTCTTCATCCAAATGGCTTTCCTGGGCACGCCTTGTTCTTCGGGTGTTAATTCTTCCTTTCCTTGCGGGGTTGTAATCCTTGATAGACGGTCATCGGATGGTCGATCCGTTACCCTTGAGTCCCGCTGTGAAACCGCGTCACAAGAGAGTGTCGGAATGTCTGATACTCGTCGGTCTCAGAGGACAGCAGCAAACCATCCAAGATTCCTACGGTCAACTGCCTCATACGGAGGAAGTGTTTTAGGAGAGCCACTGAGGGATAGCGGTCGGCTTCGCTAAGGTTCGGTTGTCGGGGAGACGAACCTCAATCCACATTCCCGATTCTGAATCCAGAGCTTGTCTTTGCCAGACACGATGACGGGAAACATGGTGCGGGATTATCCGGTGCAGGAAATTGAGATTCCGTAGTCGCGCCCCGCCGTCGGCCCGTACGCTTTGATCAATTCATTGGACGAATTTTCGACAGAATGAATCTTCCTCCCGGCTACCGAAATGCCTCAGCAAAAATTGTTATACACGACGAGCGATGCGGGGAACGGGATATCTACCGGGCTTCAAGATCAGTGAGGAAAACAAATGCTGAGCGTGAGACCAATTATTCGATGTCTGTCAATTACCATGATCATTGCAGGGGACAATTACGCTTTCGATTCGGCCCTCGGAAGATTGAGGCTCCCATGGATTGGGGGCTTCACAAATCGAGCAGATGTACCGCATCAAACTCGCCGAAGATCTCCTTGATAGTTGTTAGGGATCCGTGGTCCGTGTACATAAAAGAGAGGACAAAACGCGGTCCGATGAAGCGACAAAGAATTCGAGTTTCGTCCTATCCGTGCTTGTCGCAGAATTGGGCAACGCTCTTCCTGAAGCCGAGCAGTAGCGAGCAGCAAATGTAGATCAGACTTCCCAGTCAGGAGAACGAGTCGGACTCGTCCCTGCGAGGCGGACCCGCGAGGACCGATGAGAGACTCCCAGAGGGCAGACTGCGAACAATCGCTCCACTCAGTGGATTTTCCTCGACATCATTCATCGTCTGAGTTTCACCCTAAACCTACTAACTGTGTATAACGAGATCCGCTTTACTGACTAGATCCGCTGACTAACAGCTTTGAAAGCAAAACTATGCAAACTCAACGCGTCCAAACATGGAGCAATTGGTGCGTGCTCACTTCTGCGATTCGCTTGTTAGATCTGTTTAAGCAGCCGTTCAGAACTTCCATTCAGTGCTTCTAGAATATACATAAATTGAGGCGTTAAAACTTCTCGTCTCGGTTCACGCAGAGCG